CTCGGAGCAAGAAAATAGAATATTTTAAAGTGAAAAACGAGGTTTACAGTGAAGCCTGTGGTGATAGATGTGATAAATCAGTGATGTGATTACGGAGGAACCTCAACCACAAGCAAACGTTTATGAGTTCTATTGCATTCGGTAGCAAGACGTCAAGGGCGATTGGGTTTTGTTTTAAGGAAATGACAGCACAAGCAGCTTTAATATTCAAGCTCGGTCCCGCTCGCAGCCTTGTCAGGAGTCGCTGGGTGTCCTTAAGCGTCCTTTTTTAAATGCGCAGGGTCGTCTGATAGAGCTCTAAGAGTCCCTGAACATCACAAACAGACCTAACGAGTCCGTAGCTTCTCTGTCTCGTAGCATGTAGGCGATGTTGTCAGTTTGTTGTATTTGAACCAAAACCATGATCTTTCCCTGATCTGAAAGAAGTGCTTTGGTGCCTCAACTTAACCAGACAGCGAAGACTTAAGAATCAAAATCACTTTAAGCAAAAAAAGTAATAGTTGGAGAAACAGAAACCTCATTCTCCTGAAAGTCCTGCAACGTCTTCCACCTCCACTGATCCTACATCCTTATTTTTAAAATAAGAGAACCATCTATACGTCTATCGATGTGAGTGGCAACAACACTGAAGGACACTTTGTGTGTATCAGGCGACGGCTGATTTAAAAAATCTACATAACATAAGACAATGGGCTCAAAATTCACGCTATATATTCTTCAAAAAGGACTTTGAATGATAAAACAACTGGAGACCAAAACGGTTTTCTAAACACCAAGTAAGGGTTCCACTGGTGTCCACAGTTACAGTTTCTGTATTTAGTTTGCCATCCAAGCTTTCGGTTTATCCAAACTGGATCATCAACAAACAGAGGTTTCTTTAGGTGCTCTGTGGGATTCAGGTCGAGGCTTAGAGAAGACCAACTCAAGACTTTGATTTTCTTCAGAATATCCCAATGACGGCCTCACGTTTGTTGCTGGAATGATTGTTTTGGTGGATTCCTTTAGGTTTGTTTATTGGGGCTGGTCCGAAGAGCAATTTCTGTTCTCTGGATATTTGGCCCAATTAATGACGAATAATGGCTAATGAGACCAGTGTAGGTGTTTAGGTTAACAGTCACAGTACTGTTTCCTGTTTGCGGGCGTTTCTGCCATCAGCGGTCACAGTGCTGTATCCACCATCAGTGTCGATGGCGGTGGCCGGGGGTTAGGGTTGAAATCCCGATTCCAGCACAGCGAACGAATAGTCAGCTATTCAGCTATTCAGGTCCAGCCCAATTGTTGATTTTGAATTGAATAAATTTAGACTCTATTTTCTACTACTTCTATTATTTATGTTATTCCTGTTATTAGAGATTATGAATGATTTCTACCACATAACTCTCCTTCTGTGCCCATACCTGATGTTCCTTTTATTGTAGCACCTGAGCTGCATCTGGTAACAGATAAGGGCTCAGGTGGTAGAGCGGGTTGTCCTCCAATCGTAAGGTTGTTGGTTCGATCCCCGCCCTGTCACATGTCGACGTGTCCTTGGGCAAGACACTGACCTGAAGTTGCTCCCAATGGCAGGCAGCAGCTTGCATGGCAGCTCTGTCACCACTAGTGTATGAATGTGTGTGAATGAGAAACACATTGTAAGGCGCTTTGGATTAAAGCGTTATATAAGTGCAGGTAACAATCACTGATCTCTCTCTGAACTGTTTTTACAACGATCTGCAACTCCTCCACTTTTCAAATTGACTAAATACTCAACTGTGGATGGAACACTGAGTTTTTTAGAGCGACCTCTTTGGGGAAACGAATGATGCTCGGATGACCTTTCATCTGAGCTTCACGTGTCTTTGCAGTTGGGTTCAACCAACCAGTGTGTGCTTTTTCAAGTGAAGTGACTCGATGTTGCTCGAGAACCTCGCGGAGGTTTCCTGGTAGACCAGCTGACCACGGCTTTGTACACGACACCTGCAGTCACACTACACTGTGTGATTATTCCTTTTCCATGACCGGCCCTTAGCTACTTGCTATGTGGTGATCTCATTGCATGAAGTAGGGCAGGCCGCCGTCCCCCCACTGATTCCATGATCAAAGGCTCCTCTAAGTCTGTGAGAGGCCACGCCACGGCACTATTCCATGATTAAATGTCCTTTTCCCTTTTAATTGAATGCCATCACTTTTAGAGAATCACCTACTGTGCCACACACCGCGGCGCTGCATCGCACTCACGCCGACCGTCCACATTCAGCGGCTTAGCTCGGCTCTCCGCAGACAATACCCCGCCATTCTGCCTTTAAGCACGCGCTAATAGTCTCAGCTTTATTTCTGAGGCAACTTTGTTTTTTCTGTTTTTTTTTTTTTTCTGGCTCGGAGTCAAAGGCTCGGCATGAGATATTTGGGCCGGGATGAAGACATCAAGAAGTGTGTATAAATAGTGCAGTAACACCAATACAATGGATGGCCCTCCGGTCTGAGACGAACAAACAGAGCGACGTCAGCACACAGCGACGTCGTATTAGTGGAAGTGAACTAAGAGCCTGACATACAATCTTGTGTTACCGGCGCAGATCGCAGTTAACTGCTGCTGGCTGCTATCATGAGACGTGTTTGCTGCTGGCAGAACATAAGAAAACTGTATGACGATGGGTTTATTTTAGGAAACTCGTAACTGTTTTGCCACTAAGTGGAGCCTGTAAACAAATTCTTGGGATGTTCTTTTTTATATCAGGATATACAGTATATCATACAATCAGCGTGGACGGCAGCCGGCTGAGCTCCAGCGTGTTTGGTCTGGGACAGAACGCCGGCGTCTCGGGTTGGTTCTGCTCAGCGGAGGGACGTTAATGATATCACAGCTCAAATAATTTCCCATTGGAGATAAAAGCAAAGACTCTGATGATGCTAATTGTCAACTTAGCTTTTAACGGCATGTTGGTGGCTGGTCGGGTTAATTGTTTTTCTTTTTATAAATCCTTTAATTCTGTGTGTGATGTTATAAAAAAATCCTAAATGCATGCATGAATAAATAAGCTATATATAAATACTTATTTTAATTAACCACCTGAACCCCAAAACCTGATCTTATGATTAAAAAATCTCCAGAATTACATCATTTATCAGGCCAGGAACGATAACAACAGAAACAATCTTTGGATTTTCAGCTTTCTGACGGTTCTTAAACCAGTGAAGCATAACCAAAAAATAAGCTTAGTGCTGGAATATCTGATCAAAATCATTTCTTTCTGTGTCTTATTTAAATATTCTTGAAAAACAAATCATTTGCTGGATTCAAATCCTTTATAAAGACTAAAAATTCTGCTCTCGTCAGTGAAACCGAGAAGCTGTAAGGCCACAGCTGCGACCGATTCAGGAATATTTCACCTGAGCTGGGCTGAACTGCAGGCGGTGTTCACACAGAGCAGACTGGAGACGAGCAAGGAAGCAAATTAAAGTTTGATTCCCGTCTTTGTTGCACCTGTGGGGACCAGGAAAACCCTTGTACACGCTGAAGCCAGGTTTTTTCTATTTTTGTAAAATAGATAATTAAATAAATTCAGCTTTTTTTTTCTTTTTCTTGGAGGACTTTTTTTATTGCAGTGAAAAATGAGCCCACAGAGAATAAAAAAAGCGACAGGAGCAAAAAAAATGACCAGGAGCTGTTTGGGGTTCAGGGGGTTAATCAATCCATCACTGCTGACAGCGCGCACGGGAGACTTCTGGTGATCAATAGTGTTCTCCTGTGCGTCTGTTTTACAGCGATGCAAACATTATTTTTAATTTTGGTGTCACACACAGAAACGTCTCTCTCAGACATTTTTTGGTTTCATGAAAGTCTGTCCCGTAAGGTGCAGCGAAGCCCCAACTGAGCTCAGCAGGTTTTGATCATTTTCTCTACGGTACGTAAAAAAAAGCACAGAGCTTAGAGTTGGGACTTTATGCATCAGTGTCGAAGAGTTCTTCTCGCTAAACAATTCAAAAAAAGCCAGCAAACAAAAAGAAAAAAAAAAAAACCTCTCTCTTCTAGAGGTAAAGAAAAAAAAAAGAAAATCTATCGGCTAGATTTTCCCTCTGTGGTCCCAGGGGCCTCGCGCTGGAGGAAAAACAACACGTGCAGGAAGTGAGGTGGGATGTTCGGAAAGCATTTAGTGGATCAATATGGCAGGCAGGAGAGGGGAAGGCAGACAGACAGACCGAGTGGGAGAGAGAGACACCCAGAGCCCGGGGGAGAGAGAGAGAGGGGCGTCTCGGGGGAACAGCCTGTGCTTTTCAAGAGTACGGTTACACATCTCGCTCGCTCGCCGTAAGAACATCCAAGTCAGCAGCTTTTCCCACCCGTCTGAGTTAAACACCCAGAGGCTCGGCGGCGTGAGGAGAGGTAAGTAAGGCTCGCGGGTGATGTCACCGGTGTCTCCCCGAGGCCGCCGCCGGCTTTCAGATCTGATCACTGACCGATGCTCTGCCCGACACCAAAGACTCGGGTTTTATTCGGCCTAAACGACCGTCAGCTCTGGTGTTAAAACCTACAAGAGCTGGTGTTTAACTTCTCATAAAATTACTTGTTAATTACCCCCCAAAAAAACAACAACAAGTGATCATAGAGGGGAGCTTCATTCTTTTAATAATAAACCCAAAATGTTGTAGAAAAATCTAGCTTTAGGATTTTATTTTGAAAAGAAAAATTGATTGTTGTAATTTTCTCAAAAAGCTGGTCAAAATGTCGCAAATAATTATTTTAATTATCAAACCATTATTTATTAAAAACAGCCCAAAATAGTGACGAGCTCAAAGTGTCCAATTAAGAATCTAAAACTACATCCATTGATATGAGATAGAAAAGAGAAAAACAGCAGCTGCTCACACTGAGAAGCTAAAATAATTTTTTTCCTGATACTTGACATGAACATGGAAGAGTTTGTCCACATATCCAACCTGAATAATAAGCCGACCGACTACGCAGCCAGATCCACACACTCATCAAACAGAAAGGAGAAAATGAATGACTCGGTGCTCACCTTCTTTCAACATGCCAACTTTAAGACATTTCATGAAGCGGCAGGCCTGGCAGGACTTTCGTCTCCTCTTGGTGATCTCGCACTCGTTGGTGGCCGGACAGCTGTACTCGATGTTCCCTGCAGGAGATGAAAAGATAAATAAATTCATTATTCTGTGACCCTGAAAGATACGCATCAGGAAGAATTAGTTTTTAAATTTCTTGCATAGAAAAGCAGCGACTGAAAGACAATAAAAGACACGACAACACGTGTGTGTGTGTGTGTGTGTGCGCACACGTACACACCTGTCCCAAGGTGACCCGGTGTGACTCTCCTGAAGGAGAGGAGGCTTTAGTGGCATTTTGATGGGACATGTAAAAAGCACCTCCCCGCCCCGGAGTCCCACTCCCATTTTGATTCACAGATAAATTAGCTTCATTAATGCAGAGCGTCCTCTCCGCGATGCTCGCCGCGACCCCTTCCAGCCCATCCTTCTTCACCTAAAGGATGATGGGAAAGCTGCCCTCCCTCAGCAACACGAGGAGATGGAGGCGCAGCCGAGCACTCTGCATAATGCTCTCCAGTAAAGACCAGGAGCTGCTGCTGCTCGACTGGACCATCGAAGGCTCGCTGTATCATGTAGCAAAGCTCGATGTATTATTCAAGTCCGTCTTGGCGGTTGTTGGCTCGCTATGGAAATATTTCCTGTGCAACTTAATCACTCGGGTCCAAAAACAGCCAGAAACGCAGACATATTGAATCTGCTGCTTGTCTTTCTCACCAGGTTCCGGTTAGCCGTAGTTTTTTTTCACATCATGCGTTCACACGACCCCAAGAATCCAATGACAAATCCTGTTTGCCCAAGTATCCCGTGACTGAGTGTTTAAACAATGCCCCGTAAGTCCACACATATATTAATGGTACCTAAAAACAGCAAACCAGGTGTTGTCTGCTGCAGATCTGCCAGAGCTGCTCCCCCCACCTCCTCCTCCTCAGCAACACACACACAACCCCCTGTTGGTCAAGGAGAAGGTGCCAACATTTGTCAGGATCCCTGGCATTGATGGTGCCAGCAGGGTCACATGCACAGTTAGGGGCCCGGGGCACCACGCCAGGATGTTGGCAGAGGCTGCTGCTGGATTCAGGGTAGGTAAAGTCTGTTAAACTGAGAGGCATTAGCGGAGGGAAAATAAAGTACACTGCAGCGCTCGTGTGCAGAGACGCACGCTGTGTAGCAGCTCTATAGTGCAGCATGTGCTCTATAACATTCTCATATCAGCGCACGGGGCTGTGACTTCATGTTTCCCACTAAAGAATAAAACAGTTTTGGAAGATGAAATTGTTCATGCAATAATAATAAAAAAAGTGTAAAAGAACGTGTTTGTGAGCTGCCAGTTTGTGCAAAAGTGAGAATTTCTGCTCTGTTGTTATTGTCTTAATTGATTAATTGTTTTTGAGTCACTGCACTCAAGTCATGTAAACGTCAGACGCTGCAAAAACAAACAGATTCTTGTCTTTTCAATACAATTAATGTAAATGGGCACAACTTTTGCTCTGTTTTTTTTTTTTTTTAGCAGAATATGAACCCACAAAAACATTTTTAAATTTAGATTACATGTAATGCTTCCTCCAGGTGTCTCGCTCGTATCTGCTGATTGTTCTGCAGCAGTTAAAACAACGTCTCTGTTTATTGTGCGCTTCGTCCAGCCGTCACTATGTGAGTGTGAAACGTATCCTCCGTATTTCTGCTAACAATCGCACAACGCGCCACATTTCTACTGTGGAGCAACACTCCTGTATGTGTGACACAACTTGAACCGTCAGCGATGACGCAGAAGGAACGATGATTCCTGACGTCTCCATTTACTGAAGGAGAAACTACTCAGAGTTTATCGTACAGTTTGCCTTCTCGGTCTCTTTTTTGTCAATTTTTGTGAAGTTTCTGTTGTGAAAGAGGTCAAAAATTGCAGCGTCTTTTCAGAATGTTTAGATTTATGTTTGAACATTTCTCTTTATACTTTGTGTTTATACTCTCTTATTTGTGTTTATACACTTTCTTATTTACATATATACTTTTTTATTTATGTGTATACTTTCTTATTTATGTTTATACATTTTATTTGTGTTACACTTTCTAATTTACGTTTATATTCTCTTATTTGTCTTTATATACTTTCTTATTTGTGTTTATGTATTTTTATTTGAGTTCATACTTTATTTGTGTTCATATTTTCTTATTTACATTTATACTCTCTTATTTGTGTTCATACTTGCTTGTCAGAAGTCTATTTGTGCCATTTTTCTTTAGCTCAAAGCCCAGACTTCCGTCGCGTGTACGGAAACGTGTGCATAACGTTCAATAAAAGGATTCTGGACTCTAAGTTCCCGTCACGGTGCCCATAGAGCTGCAGCGATTAGCCAATCAATCAATTAGGTGTGTACTTTTTAATTAATCCCCAACTGTTGTGGTTAAAACAAAGTCTCTAATTCTGGCTTCTTAATTCTTAACATTTTCTGGTTTCTTTAATCCGTGGTGAACATAAACGGACATTTCTGGTTTTGTAGAGACTCTGGAGGACGTCACTTTCGGCTTTGGGAAACGCAGGATGATATTTTATAGACCAAACAACGAACACGTGGATCGACGATGAAAACACTCGTTAGCTGCAGCGCTAATCGCCCACATTTATGCAGCAATTAGAAATAAAAGGATAGAGTGGATTATTAGAGGGGATATTTTTTACCTGGATGGACTGAAAATAACCTGCATGTGTGTGTGTGTGTGTGTGTGTGTGCATGCGGTGGGTGGGGGGTTGCACTGGGGGGTCCACAATAGACTCAAATGGCCCTCCTCTAAAAGCTGGCTGTCGGCGTAGCCTCTTAGTTAATCAGGTCTTGCGTCCACCTTTATTCCTCAAAGGACATTTCAACCACTCTAATATCCTTCCTTAACCTCTCTTATTTTCCCTCTAAATTTTGATATATTATTATGCCATGCTATTATCCACGCGCCCATCTCCACTCAGGCTGGACCTCTCCTTGTCCTCCTCCTTTGCCGAGGCCGGGACCCCCCTTCCTGATTACCATTCCATTAAAGCGCCTTCTCCTCTCTGTGAATGACCACGTCCCCCGTCCCTCTGCCTTTTATTTAGAGGACTCCTCGGCGTCTCTTCTCCCCCCCTCGCTCTCTGCTGCTCCCCTTCCTCTGTTATTGCCCCCCGACAACACGTGCCTGAGCTTCTAATTGGCCTCCGTCTCCCCCCCCCTTGGGTGTGAGCTCGAGGGGCCCGGGGGCAAAGAACAGATCCACACCTCCCACCCTCCTCTCTTGACTTTCTCCCAATGAAATGCCTGGTTCTTAATTACAGTCACCCAACACTGATTGTTATTGACTGAAACTCCCGCGGCTCAGGACGAATGACGGACAGATTAAGCTCATTACGGGCCTGTCCTCCACAAAGGAGAGCGAGAGGGACACGAAGAAGAAGAAGAAGAAGAAGAAGAACAAGAAGGAGGATCTCGGCGACACAAAGTCATGAGCATTGTTCACTGTGTTGCTGGTCAGACTGCAGCCTTGAAACTTCCAATGATTTGACAAAAACTGATATTCAAGATATGTAAAAAAAAAAAAGAGAAGCCAAAATTACATTTAAACAGCAGTTTTAAACACTATATTTGTGCTTTCCAATGTTTTTAAGATGCCCTGTGAACTCCAAAAGGTCAAAATTACACTTTTTATTAGCGCAAGAAGCTATAAAAACAGAATCAGGCGTCAGATTTTCAACTTTCCGACGGTCCCTGAACTAGTCATCTGTGACCCTCGGAAACCAACAATCAGTTCTAAGCTTAACATCATCTTTTAATTTTACAAGCTTCATTTAAATATTCTGCATAACAAACGGTTTTTATTAACTAGACTCTGAAGAAGAAAATAAAAAATAAAATTCTGCGCTGCTTGGTGCAGTGAGTCAGCTACGACCAACGGCCAAAATACTAATTCAGGGACTTTTTAAATGAGCTGCAGGTTGTGTTCACAGAGCAGATCAAAAATAACGAATTAAAAATGTCAATAGTAAAATAACTACATTATGTAGAGTCACTGTTTTCCTCCAGATCAGGTCACATCTTGGGGTAATTTGAAAAAACGTTGATTCAGAATGTTTTTTTTTCTTCTATTTTGAAGATAAATAATCAAAGATATTTAACAATTGCTTTTTCTTTCTTTCTTTCTTTCTTTCTTTCTTTCTTTCTTTCTTTCTTTCTTTCTTTCTTTCTTTCCTTAGTGATTTTTGCCTCTATAAGTTTGCTCTCACGGTATTTCTCTGACTTCTCTCTACTCTAAGCCGTCGTTGTGCCGTTCAGCATCCAGAAACTGATTCTAGTGCGTTGCTACCACATTATAATCATTTTTCCTTTTTTTTTAAATCACTTATGATAAAATATCCAAACTACAGAGACAATAAGCAGCTGTCTAAAACACGCCTTTTGTGTTTGAAGTGTGGCAGGAAGTAGCTGATGAAGCAGATATATATGAAAATGCACCTGTTTGTCCGCTTGTCAACCTTCACTGAGCAACAAACATTTCTTTTTTATCCTTGTGTTGTCCAACAGCAGCAACAGAAGCACCTGTAAAGTCTGCTGGACAATAAATCAACGAGCTGTTTGATCAGTCGGCAGTGATTCTGACAATAAAATTAAAAAGGGGAATAAAGAAGATGCTTCAGAGAGGTTTGACCAGAACCTCTTTTATTTAAATGTGCCTGCCTTGTTGTGGCCTCACTTCACCTCCTGTCTGTGCATCCAGACACAAACGCTGCAAATAAAAACACAAAAAATCTGCATCTCAGTATGTGGCACATTATCTCCGTCCAAGTGATTATTCTGGAGCCGGTCCCACACATGGCAGAGTCGATGCCAGATGTATGAATCACATGCAAAGACATAAAAAAAAAACAAACCCTCACAACCCAGAGCAGATTTACAGTCTGGGCCTAATGCCTGCTGTAGACACTCGTAATCACTACGCCGCATTAGTCCCAAAAGAGCAGAGCGTTGCCGAGCGGCGCCGAGGAGCCACGTGGGCCAACACGACATCGAATCCCTCATCTGGTCAGCGAACGTCCCGTCAGGTAAAGGTGATAAAAAGACAACAGAGGGGATCGTGAAGAGGCAGCACTTTGTCTACTGTGAGAAGTGTGAGTTAAAGGCAGTGCGCTGAGTTAATGGCGTCTGTTTTATGTTATATTGAGCTTTTACTCGTTTTAGAGGAAGAAAATAAACTTTTTATTTCACTACTTTTACCTGACATCTTGATTTATGAGTTACTTTGCAGATTAGAATTAAAAAAACACACAAAGCATCGTTGAAAGCATTTCACAAAAAGAAAAAAAAAGCCCTGTTTAGTTGTAGTTTTTGTCACTTTATTATTTGTCTATGAGTTGCTTTGATCCTCCTTTAGCCCTCATCAGATTATTTCATTTAATTAACTGAGATCATCCAGCATTTTGCAGAAAAGACAAAGATTCATGAAACATTTTTAAAAAAATATTTGTGTGAAGCTGAACTTTGGTTAGTCCTCTGTCTTTTTACAATAATCCGTTCACAACCACTCAGACTCATCTGGTCGACTTTTGGCGCTAGTTGTATATAATGCAGATAAAATTATCTCAGTGCAGTAACATCCTGTTTACACCTTGATGTAAAAACACGTGTGACAAGCAGCACAGCAGACTCTCTTAAAACTCTCAGGACATTTTGCTGACAGTACTTCTATACTTTTACTCATGTAGGACTTTGAAGGCAGGATTCTGACTGATAATAGAGAAACATCAGAGTGCTGTACTGGTACTTTTACTTAAAGCTTGGGTAGGCAGTATTTTTTCTCCAACATCTTTGGCCAAAAATTCCATATTGACCTTTCAGCAGATTGTAATTTAAGAGGAAACTACATTTCTGCACCTCAACCCAGCTTCTTTTTTTTTAGATTTTAGAAAATGAAGTCACAGGTAACTTCAGCCAATCACAAGACTGAGCAGATGAGAAAGTACTAAAAGCATCAGAGTGCGAACAGGTTGTAGAGTTTGAGCTCCAGGGTCCAGATTTCTGCAGGTGTGAGCGAACGGTTTGAGTCCTCTGTCGCCTGCTGTGTTAAAGATTTTATATTACAGAGAAAATCAGCTCTACAGACATTCATGATCAGCTCAGGTGAGCCCGTGAAGGTTAAACGAGTACGTGGGAAATACCTTGTATCGTCCTTTTGAAAAAGGCTTTGCAGGCCTCGCAGGAGGCCACCCCGTAGTGGTACCCCGAGGCGATGTCGCCGCACACCAGGCACAGCCTCTTGGGAATGGCGTTGAGCATGTACTCGCACTTGATTGGCGAGTCGTCTGCCATGCCGCCGGAGCACTCCTCGTAGCGCCGTAAGCAGGCGCTGGCGCCTCCCAGCATGCCCGGGTTGAACATTGGCGGGGAGTCCAGGGCGTGTGAGCGCCCACTGCCGCCGTTGATGTAGCCGCCGCTGGCGTCGGAGTTGCCGCTGGGACTGTGGTGGCTGCCGGTGTCGACGAGCGAGGAGGACGGACTGGACGGCTCGGTTTTGACGTAAGAACCACAGCTCGAGGATAAGTGCCGGTCCTCAGAGGGCATTCTGGTTAGCAACCTGGAGGAACACACACAGGAGAAGAGCTGCATTAGTTTAAATCCTAAATGGATGAACAGGGGACGGACGTGGCGACAAAATGCTCAGCAGGATTCGTTTGTTCATTTTCCAGATTGTTACAAATCTTGTGAACTGAGCAGAAACTCTGGGCCAATAACAGAACATCTTTAAAATGATCAGAGAAACTCCCCAGTTTGTCTTCATCATGCACTCATTGCACTGAAGGATAAAACAAAAAGCCCCAATCGTATGAAAAACGCTCCGTCTGATTTCCAGAGAGCCACACAACCTTGCACCAAAGTAAAAAAACTGCCGCATCAACGAAATTACCACCACTAATGTACCCGAAGGTTGCTTTCCACCACGACCGCCGATCATCCCGTGACAAATTCATCAGCCGGTTCATCTGAGTTTGATAGATTGTGTTACAGACACAACCATTAATGTGCTGGAATGCCAAGTGATATACTGCAGTAGCTTTATTCCTCTCAGGCAAAATGGTAACTAACGACCATGTCAACAGATGCCCCATACATCTTGCAAACAATGCCTACAATTGGTCGGCTGCCAGAAGTAAATGAATGAATGAAACTTCAGAAGGCTGTTAATGGACAAAGAGAGGTGTTACACTCAGCATATGGAGGATCATGGGTAATACATGACCCAATCAATAGTCCCGGTTATTTTGCCAGTGGACGGTGCCGGGTTACGTTGGGCTGAGCGAGAGGCACTGACCTGGGATTAAGTTCCTTATTCCAAAATTTTCATCATAAACATTGTGAAGGTTGGATTACACACTAAACATGAGGAAAAAAACAAAGAGCGGTTCCGGAGGGACTGTTTGGATTTCTGCAGCTCTTGCAGAAACTCCTTTTTGGTTTCACGTTTTATTGTAAAGCTTAGACGGGACATGAAACTCTCTGTTTGACACGTTAAATGTTCTGATTAATGATGCGTTTTGCTGAACTACGACTGACAACAGCTTTTCTTTAAGGTACAGATTTAGATCAACACTTTGACATATTTCAGTGTAATGTTAATATTGTGTGTAATTTAAACTCTAGTTTCTGTGACTTCAAACTAAATTAAAGTTGAAACAACTTAATTAAATTGGCTTGACGACTTAATTTTTCTTCACCTTGACTCAGGATTGTGCGTCTCCACGTCTGTCTTAACACGACAGATTGAACTCCTTTAACTGGTTGAACATAATATTCAATTAGAAGTTGTCATTACTCACAAAGATAAAAGCAAACTGTTCATTTTTTTTTTTTTTTGCTGAGCACAGACATGATTTTTTAGAGTGTAGTGAAGCTTGTGTATTCAGTCATATTCCCTCAAACGAAGCATGAAATGAGGCCCGGCTCTGTGTGAGGACCGCTGGCTCTGTCTGTCACAGTTGGAGTTGATCTTACACAACTTCGGCCCGACATTCTTGCGAGTCGTAAATATTGTGTGAGAGTCGTGGAAAGCCATGTTAAGAATGTCTGAAACTAACGGAGAGCTAATGCCGCTTAAAGTCCTCTGAACGCGGTGCGACCAGGCGCTGCCCTCGGTTTTTTTTTTGAGATGTTTGGGAGTTTTTTTTTCTTTCCCCTCTTTTGCATGAGTGTTCCTATAGAGGCATGAAGCCATGAGGCGCTGATGACATGAAACCTCTCTTTTAACTGCTAACGGGTAGTGGGTGGAGGGAGGGAGGAGGAGGAGGAGGAGGAGATAGCCTCCACCCCTGGGCCCAGATCAGATCTATTGATCCTCTGCTTCCTTCCTGTTCCAGATGAGGCATGAAAAAATAAACCCTCCTCTTACGGGTCCCAGACATTCCTTATGCATTTTTAATCAGCCAAGACTGTTAACATAGTGCGAGATGGAGAGATACAACATTATGCTGGTCTTCATTCTGAGGCTGTTGTGGTTTATGAAAGATTCACAGCCGGACTTAAATCTCGTTAGCGATCAGCGCGCACCTATAGTCAATTGGCCGCTATATTTTCTCCCATCTGAGGGAATTGGAAAGAGCGGCGTGCTAACAGTTAATACATCATCGCAGCCAGATAGGGGGACTCCCTACGGGACGGTACGTTGTGGCATATGTAAAAAGTAGTTCATTCCACACTTAGCACACAGCAACGCTGGGGAGATGTTTTTTGTTAGGTTTAATGGAAATTTCTAATGGGTCCCTTCAAATCTGTCGAAATGAAATAATGGCACGAGCCACCAATTCACGCAGACAGAAATAGCTTCATAGTTTCATAATTTGGTTTTCCCCCCTCTTGGTATGAGGAGAGTTTCCTGAGCGCTGCCTGACTCTCCTCAACCTGTCCCTGCAACACACACACACACACACACACACACAAACGCATTGCACCTCATTTCTAATGGGGCAGTGTTTGCTCCGCCGTGCAGAAAAATGGTACAAACCGAGCAGACAAGCAAGACTCATCAGACAGACGTGAAGGTCACCTGCCTTCTCTGTGCCGCTGCTCGGAGAGGCCCAGACGGTCCCACAATGGACGCCTCGGAGCGGCAGATGCACGGGTTTCAAGTGTGTCCACCAAACTGAAAGAACGTCTAGACGCGACCTACAGAATGAGCGTGCACGCTAAAGATCAGCCACCAGTTATAAATTTAAAAAATGATGGCTATTAGTTGGGAGCCAAAGAGCGACGGGCGCGAGAAACGCCCCAACAGAGCGGCTTAAAATCTCAAATGTTTGCATGTGCATGTGTGTGTTTTGGCATCCCTCCTCGTGCTGGCAGCGCCGCAGATCCCCAGCTTCCCCACATAAATCCTGAATCCATCCACCTCTTCTCCATGAAATATGTTTTCTAGCCTCCGATTTCCAGCACAATAAATCTACCCGCCGTGGTAAAGAAAAATAAAATAAAACGCATATTCAAAACACTTGTGCGGAGTGACCTCACGCCGTCCTTGTCTGGAGCGAAGAGTTAAACATAGTATTTTCCCACCGAAGGGAAATATTATCGTTGAGCTCGGGGTTAAGCTTGTAGCGTCGAACGCGGCGTAAATCACGGTGCTGAACACACAGTCAAACATGGAGGCACAGAAGGACAGAGGCAAGGAGCCATGCATGAAATTAGTTCATTAATCTTTCTATGATAGGCTGTCCTTGTTTGGGGCAAACTCTATCAGCTCTAAACTGAGTGCCCCTTCCTGCCTGACACATAGATTACACTGTTAGTCCGTGGCCGAGGTGTCTGGGAAATGAATGGTCATGCGACTGGGAAAATGGGCTAGCGTGTGTCGTCCCAGCGTCGAGCAGCAACAACAACATGTGGCTAACGTGGCGTTGGCACAAATGAAGGTCAGTGAGAAGGTGTGCGGTGTTAAATGCGATTCGTACGGCGCCGCGAATAGAAGAAATAGAAGAAAAATTATAAGAGACGTCCTTCTAATTTAAATTTAAAATCTGCTCGATGTCGTCTTTGGTCTTCTGCTCTCGTGCCTCCGTTTACGTTTAAAATTGTAATTACTAACGATGAATCTCACATTGTATTGCTGGAAATGGTGCTCACATGGTTCCTACAGTTCTTTCAGGTTCTACGTCCCAAAAACAAGCTTAAGACAAAAAAACAAAACCCAAACGCTTTCTGTTTTGCCTCCAAACTGTGGAACAGTGAAGCTCAGTTTTTTCTTTCTTTTTTATTGTAATTTAGATTTGTCCGTATCGCGCCTCTTTGCGCTGCATTTCAGCACACGAGCTACATATTTACATCGCCTGTTTTTAAGCATTTCATTAGGTTTTCAAATACGTTTTGTGTTTCATCAATTTCTGCAAAATTAAAGGCATTGATTCATCTGCTGCCTGTTTTTCATGGATAGTCAGTTAATTGAATAAAACATCTGAAAAAATAAAATAAAAAACTTCCATCATAAGTCTCAGAGAAACAAGAAAACCACCAAATACATCTATAATAAATCTTTAAGAAGTGATTAAAAAAAAAAAAGTCAAAATCAATTATCGAAGCTCTTGATCAACTGATTTCACATCTAATTAAATCACAGCTTATGTGGATATTTTACGGTTTATGTCAGATTTCTGCAGCGACTCTTCTCAACTCAGGACTTCATGAGCAGAAGAAGGACACGGTGACGCGGCTGAAAGTTCCAGAAGCGGTGCAGTTAGTGTAAGTTAGTGAATCTTAGCGGTTAACAAACGACAGATTGGTGCTGCAGAGGCGGCGAATTAAGCTCTTTGTAAATTCTGTTCCTTTTTTTTTTTTTTCCTTCCTCCCTCTAAACCTCCACTTTGAAGCTTCCGGTCCTGAAGTTGCAGCTCTGCGTTTATGCCGCATCGATGCACTTTGTTTCTTTGTCTCTGACGCACACACACACACACACACACACACACACACACACACACACACACACCGTGCAGCGAACTTCCAGCATATGGCCTCTTCAATGTCACTGCCACGAGGAGAGATTGCATAGATTTCCCACATGGATGATGTCTCCTTACCTGGAGTATCAACCCCCATCTACATACACATCCACCACCTCTAGGAAATTGCTCTCTCTGCAAAGTCAAACACACCCCTAACTGCCTTTTAAAAAGAGACAGAGGAAGGAGGTTACGGCGGAGGGGAGGGTGGAGGGGAGAGCGAATAAACGAGCAGAGACTTAAGCCGTCATTGGGAATCAGAGGAGGACTCATGAGGGACAGTTACGATATTGATTTCATAAATAAACAGAGATGGCCATCGATCCTAATGTTATTTTGCATTTCAATTACTGCCCAGAAACATAACCTTCAAACGTCTGCTTCTCCACAGTAATAACATCCACTGATAATCACGAGCGAGCCTTGTTCGGCACAAATTGGCTTTTCTCTCATCCACCACCGCTCTCTCCACTTCTTTTTTTTTTTTTCTCCAAATGTGTAAATGACACAACTTTGCATTTGCCTAATGGTATTAGGGCATGGGCTGAATTTCAAGTGAGACTCAAGCTGATACAGTAAAGCGCTCCGGTCAATTGACACAATGCAAATTAACGTGGTGAAGAGGAATTAAGTTCACAATGTGAGACCTCGCCAAGCTACGATGAGGCCCATTAAATTAAACATGCCGGCTGACCCACACTCCATGATTAGACTTCTTCTTCTTCTTCTCCGTCTGCGTGTGTTAATTTCATTAGATCAATAAAACAAACTCCTTCTAAGAAGTCCTCTCTGCTGCTCGGCGCATGAAAGGCACATTCATGTTTTGATTGGACAGCGGCTGTAAAAAAAGAAAAGAAAAGGTGTCCATCTACATCCTCATGAATTCAGAGTCCTTGACAGGCTGCCTAAAGGATATATCTACATCAAGGAGGGGTCACGACATGCAATGAAGTTATTTCCCCTCTCATGCTGTCACACAGAGCCGCTCTGTTTCCTCGTGTGACATTAATAAAGATGACAGTCATGAGAAAAGGCAGCAGCCAGCTTCGGTGTTCACAATTGTTTTTGGTTTCTGGCAAATTATTCCTCAACTTCACTGAAGTTGGATGGAAGCAGATTTTTTTTTTCTCTTCTTGTCACCACCTGCTCCCCTCCATCCATGAGTCCTTATCCCGGCTTGGGACGGATCTCGACCCCCTTCGGTGCAAAACTTTGACCACTTTCATACATTTTGCAGCAGAAAGGCGGCTGTTTATACGCAGAGCGACGAGAGGGAGCTGGAAACTTCATACGCTCTGTAAAGCGGTTGAACTGACTCCACAGTTTCCAGTCAAATTTCCTGTTACTTAAGTGGGGCAAAAATTTGTCTTTGAAATCTGTTTCCAAAAACTAAACAGCAAACTTACTTACGACATTGCAGTGTATTATTACTGATAATATGCTTTATATGTCACTGAGATCCACTGCAGCAGGTGAATACGTCCAGTTTTCTGCACATTTGCGGAGCTTGAATTGAGCGTCGCTGCCCCACAGCGAGAAGCAGCCGCAGCAAATATTTCATGCTCAGGGTTCAAGTGTTCTGCTGCAGTTTAACTGAGACGTATTTTCCTTTGTGCATATTTACCTCCACGTGCTGCTAATTTATCAAAAAAAAAAAATACACAAATAAAGGAGTTTTGAAAGACAAACGGCCGGCTCGTGGTGTTTTTATCTATTTTTATTTTATGTTTTAGATATTAATGACTAATGGAGGCGTTTGTCGGAGCCGCCGTGCGACCACGAGCACGACTCGGGTAATAAATGCAGATTCAGAGCACGATAAGATGATGTGTTTCTCTTAACAGACACAGTCAGGTGTTCCCATGTATGGCACTGCTAAAATTAGATCCTAGGTCAGTGTGTGATTCTTTGGTCCAATCTCTACGTGTGTGTGTGTGTGTGTGTGTGTTTGTGTGCGCGCATACGTTTGACCGCTTATGCATTCCTGTTTGTTTGCTTGTGAAGGGCACCTATAGGAACAGCAGGTGGAGCGAGAAGGAAAAAACAATAGATGTGATTTATTGGGGCACAGAAACTTTAGGTGATGCTGTCGACCAGAGCGCTAATCGGCTGCGTCAGCTTTGAAAATTAAAACAACAGGAAAATAAATTGGCTATTTTTTAATAATGCTATCATGGGTTTAAATAAGGTGTCACACATTAAAAACAAAGAGAAAACGAGTTTCCACACAGAATCTGACTGACCTAAAAAGCGGAGATTAGCTATTTTAATGGAAGTTTAATTTTATAAACCTCAGTGAACTCTAGGCCAGTTTGTTTCTTTAGTTTGCTGCACTTTATTTAGATTTTACCAATTTAGATTTAGCAAAATTATATTTAAAAAAACGCCAAAACAGCCCCGATATGGGCATTTTATTAAGGTAAATTGCTGACATACACATAGTTTATCTACTGTAATACATCATTTGTCTACTGCTGGAGGAGTGTGTGTGTTTCTGCAGCAGAAATGTGGCGTAACAGTTGGACTCCATCAGACCTTGAACTACAGGCCAGTGGCTTGGACGTTGGGCCAAAAGTCTTCAGGGGGTTAATGGCATTCCCCAAAGCCACACCTAAACGAGCTTTAGCAGCTTTGTATAAATGCACCCTTACTTCTGCACAATTACTTCTCTGCATTAAATCATCGGTTCTGAGACACTCTTAGTGTTCTTACAATTTACAGTCATGAAAAGCTGTTTAGCTTTAATTCCCTTTAACTCAATCAGTGCAGCGAGTTTAATTCAGGATCTTGAGGAGACTCCAGCGGTGCAGCTCTACAGAGACGTGACTTTGTGTGAACGTTGTGTTAGCGTCATAAAAACAAAAGTGCTGCCCCATCAAATGTGAGCCAACAGTGGATCCGACAGCTTCAGTACGTTTATATGCACAGAGCCACACGCTGCTTACATGTCAACGTGTACCGGCGTGCACCTCTAAAACACACATTACTGAATGCATCCATACATGCACACACACACACACACACACACACACACACACACACACACACACACACAAGGTACACGCTGAAGCCCGGCCCAGGGTCACTAGAGGTTAATTAATACCATCCTATTGCTGGATTTGTCGCTTTTGCTAATTTGAATTTGGCTTTAAGTGATTTTAACGTGTAATTAAAACTTTATTTAATTCACATTTCTACTTAAATAGTTTTGTCTGAGACAGAAAAAAAAAAAACTCCAGATGGTGTGTGTGTGTTTTTTAGCATCACTAAAATCTACGACATCAACTATGAATCCTTAAACAACATTATTTAACCCAGATGAGTGACTTTTATATGAAATATCAGCTCTTCTGGCACATTCTGGGTTTACTATTTCACTTTTTAAACAGTTTCTTTCACTTTCCAGCAGTTGTTTTAATTGTGGTGGTTCAGTTTAATTTCTGTCTCACACATCCACTGCACTGATTTTAATACTTGATTTGCAATTTTGGTTCCCAGAAGAACATAAAAATGAACGTGAAATTAAACAGATATGTGCATTTTTAGTGAAGCAAGACAATTTTTGCAAAGCGAATAAAATCTACAAACGTTTTAAAACGAGCACGAACGTCTTCTAATAAAATAAAATAATAAAAGTGTGATTTCACTGTCAGGAGTTTTCTCATCCAGTCAATCAGCTCTGATTACTGTATAAAGCGCTCCACGTTTGATTGTTTAACTTTACAGGACGTGCTTCTTATTTCTTTCTTCTTTTTTTTTTATACAGTCTTGTGGAGTTTGAAACATCCCTAATTGTACCTCTGTCAAAAGTGCTAAGCAGGTTAAACCTTTCCAATCCCATCTACAGCTTAACAATAAGAGGATCCCGGTGAACGCTGACCCCCGTCCAGTCATATCTGCTGTTGAGAAAAGCGTCTTTCGAAGCATGCAAGGAGAGCGGCAGCAGTGAGGGCTGCTGCTGCTGCTGCTGCAGGAGAGTTTCTTCCCTGAGTTACTGTCAGACACGCTGCACTTATAAACCGCTTTGCTTTTATATTATTTTAACTTTACATTCCTGACATGTGCTGCCACTTTGGAGATAATTAAAATCTGTGCTTATCAATGTGGTTTCAGCAGGATTTAATCCTCACCACCAGAATAAAGTGATAAAACAAACCCCTGTCCAGGCAGACAGTCCTACATGTCTCCTCAGATCAGACAGTTTACTTTCCCCGGGACGCCGGCTGCTCCCACACAACAGTATTCTGGGTATCGGCTGCATTATTCTGCCCCTGGCTCTTCCCCGCTGGCTGAGGTTTAAAGCCCGGATCGTGATGCAGAGCGGGACAGCTGTAGGGCGACCGGCCGCCCTGGACTCCCTACCGCTTTCTGCTACTGCAGCTTCAATGTCTCTACTACCGGACACAGGAACCAGCATGAGGAACTCCCCCGTCTTTGGCGATAGTTTGTTGTTTTTTGTTTTTTTAAAATGAATGAATAAAGTAAATTTAAATAAAAATAGTGACAAAGCAGGAGGATAAATAGTGTCAAGGAATAGATAAACGGAAGCACCTACTGGTTGTGGTAGCAAAGAGGGTCGGGGATGCACAGTTCGGAAACATCCATCAGTCCACGTTAAGCATTCCAGGTGTGACGATAGAAAAAAAACAAAAAAACAACAAAAAAACAACAACAGATAGAACAGCTGGGCAAAAGCTGGAGGAGGAGATCAGCTCCTAAGTCTCCACATATCTTCATGAAATGTTGTTGGTCAGGTGTTCCTGGGTGTTGTCTCCCCTCCCTCCCCCTGTTCAAAACACATGCACACAAAACATAAGAAGAAGAAAAAAACCTTCTGCCTCAGCCCAACAAACTCCTCCAGTCTGCACAGGTGCTGCTGCTCGCTCAGGCTCAGGATGGTTCAGAAGAGGAGTGAGGAGGACGGACAGACAGGAGCGAGAAGCCGAGGAAGAGGGGAAGGAAGTGTGGAGAAGGAGGGAAACAATAAAGGTGATGGATAGAGAAAGAGAGAATAGAAGATAAGAGGCAGATGGATGGAGAGCAGCGGCGGCGGCAGCAGCAGCAGCAGCAGCGGTGGTGAGAGCGCACTCAGGCTGAGTAAGTCGGTGAGGGGATTGAGTCTCCATTGAAGACAAGGGGGCTCTTTAAGAGGAGGAGGGAGTGGCTCGGCGCACACGGAGCCGCCGCCATTGGTCGGCTTCGGGGGAAGGCTGTCCCGGGGGCGGCCAATGGTGATGAAAGATTACTGAGATGAGATGGACTAATGGGCAAGCAGTCGGTGTCCATTCACAAGGGAGCGCTGCGAAACAGAGACACAGGCAGAGCCCCAAAAAGACAGACAGACAGACAGACAGACAGATTCTTGTTGTGTTTACAGACTGCAGAGGTAAAAGCAGCTCCTGACAAGCAGCAGCAGCAGCAGCAGCAGCACGTCCACTCAGGCTGCTTTAAACAGGTCTGTTTACAGTGCTTTAAAGGGCTCAATGCCAGCTTATGGAGCTAAACTGTTCCCTTTTATCCTCTCCACCACGGATCCGGCTCTCCACAGCCTGCCCTCCTTTAAAGCAATGACAGCTGCTTCCCACCGCATTTCACCAATCACGCTGAGAGGCGAGGGGATCCACCAATCCCGACAGAGGCAGGACGTAAGGAACCGAGAGCGATAATGACCTCGGCAGGCGCGATAATAACGATGACGACAACAGAGAAGTTTGAGTGGATCTTTACCACGTCCGTGTAATGTGGCAGCCCATCAGAGGAGACCCAGAGCCCCCCACCACCACCACCACCACCACTACCCACCACCCTCCCTCCAGCCCACTTCATCAACCCACATTTTCCTGATCGATGCAAAACCCATCACACGCTCTTATTGATTACAGCGCTGCCGTGTCGCCAGGAGCCTCAGGACAGACTCTGTTTCCCTGCCGTCTTTTAAATATAAAAAAAAAGAAAAAGAATTACAAATTTGAGCGTTTTCTTTTCATGTCAGTCCGTATCAGAGTCAGAGGAGCAAAAGGCCGATTGCTTTAATAAAGGAGCTGTGCATTCTCAATTACGTTTTTGATCAATATTTTGGCATTTAATGTACTTTCCTGCAGAGGAAGAAAAAAAACAAAACAAAAACAGGATATTCCTGCTGATCTGATTAAGACATCCAGACATGATCAATAGAGGAGATATGTTTATGTTTTTAATGAGGCAGGAGAACAGACGGGAACATGTTCACATGACATGTATGATTCCAGTTAATGGAGCCGATGCGGATCACAAACATAAACGCAGAAATCTTGTCTTTGCTGGATTCTCCTTCACTTTTACGATCTAATTAAATATTGCACTACCTGTTTCCTTATTTATTTTATTGCATTTTTGTTTTATTTTATTTTATTTGATCTTTTTTTGCACTGCATTCTTTGCCACTTATGTCACTGAGTCCTGTAAAGCTGCATGTGGCTCAAATAAAGCACCTTGAACTTTTCAAACTTTGATATGCAAAATTTAGAGAGCACGTGAAAGTAACTCAGCTATAGGAGTTGTTTTTCCCCTTAAACAAAGCTCCTAATTTGGTTAATTAAGCCGTTCTACCTTTTAATTCATGTCTCAGTTATTCCAGATTAACAATTTGTTCCTGTTCCTGCATCACTTCCGAGCCTCCGGGTTCCTGAGGTGGACCATACGTACATTTGAGGCTCATCCGCCTCCCGCTTGGCGAGCTAACCTCCACCGGGTGGGGACGCCGGGCTTCATGGCATCTGACAGGAAATCTATTGAGCGCACAGTCTGTAATCCCACCGTCACGCTATCGCCAAACCAAGAAACAGTAATCCAATCACTAAGTCTGTAGTTAAGCAAGACCTCTGTGACCACCAGTGTGTCTCTTTGAGGAGATCAGAGCAGTCTGCGATCTCAGTTGGCATATTTTTTTTATTTTGCTCTGTTTACACTCTCTGTGTCGCTGTGAACTGGTTTCAGTTTAGCAGAGAACAGAATTTTGCGAGCAAAGACACAGAAAACCCGGTCGGACATGATCAAAACGTTTCCCCCCGAAATCACATCAAAGACGCTGAGATTTAACCGTCGGCGCGATCAGGGGCTCGTTTGGGAGAAGTTCAAAAAGAACCAATCGTTATCTGTCGATAAATAGTAATTACATATTGTGTCGGGCTCGGGGACTCTCTGTCACACTGCTTGTATGTAATTAAATTCCTGATTCACGAGCAAACCGGCCTTTTATGTCCGACCTCCTGACCTCTCTGAAGAAGACTCACGGTGGCTCAGCAGAAAGTTCACCGATGGCTCCGTTAATAACTCAGACAAATTTGTTAATTCTTGAACGCAAAAACTATTAAAGAATGAACTGAAGCAAACACCAGGTGACACTTGAATATCTCTGTCAGAGCAGTTTCTTTACAGGACAGTTTGTGATGGAACTGACTGCTGTAAAGTTTTATTTGGCTCAAATGTCACTAAACTCAAATAATTGGTTATAATAAAGTTGTCACATCACCTTTAATCAACGGCTGCTGTAATTAAATCACAGAAAAATCAATGAGAGAAAATATTCAAGTAAAAAGTAATTTTCTTGAACATATATTTCATTCGTGATGGTTTTCTTGTTAAAATGTGCAGCTTTAGAATTAAACTAGATTATTTTTTACTCCTGACTTTGGCCATAGAGCATCTTTGATTTGGAATCTGACAGAAGAAGTCTCGCTGTGAACCTTATGTTCCTGTTTTAACTGTGTATTGATATTTACATGTTTAATCTTATTCTGCACGCTTTACCTCTGATGAGAGCGTTCCTTTATATCATCTACCAATTCTCTTCAGGTGAACTTCTAAAAGCTTCGACTCCACCTCGACAGCCAGCAAAACCCTCGTCTTTATCCGACTTGTTTCTCGCTAAACAGGCGCCGAGTCGCGCGAATCCATCATTTGCACATTTCCCTCTCGCTGCCACACACTTGTTTGGCTCGTCTGCTGGAGGAGTGTGGAGAGGGATAATTACTATAGCCACAGGGCTGCATTAATCAGCTGGGTGCATTTGTTGGGTTTTATTATGTTCCACTCCCCTCTCTGGGCCGCGCTGCCTGAGCCACCAGGACTAGACGGGGCCGGTGGAGGACCGGCGTTGCCCCGCTGCCCGCTCACGCTGGGTTAATAAATGCTATTAGCCTCTATCTCTTGCCTCTTAATTTCTCATTTAACCGAGGGCCGTTAAAACAAAACTACGAGAGCGGCGGTGTTAATCAGAGGCTTGTAGCAGGACTCCGGCGTCTTGATTGAGAGAGCCGGACTCACACGACGAGGGGAGGAAATGTACGCTGGGACCCGGGAGTGGATCTGCCTCGTCTGCGGTGTGAAACATCCATACGGTCATTTCACGTCTGATCATAGCGGCTGTGTAATGATTGATGAAATGATGCTCGTTGTTCAGCCTCTTCTAAACGCTCTGTCCTGCGGCGGTTCATATTGTGGTCACATGTCTACATCAGGAGCCTTCATCAGACCTTCTGATCGAGCTGCATTCGCCGCATTATAATCAGAATTTTAAAGAAAAATTCGTCGCCCCAAACCTCTAAATTACCGTCTGCGCGTAACGTATCGCGGCACCGGCGCTCCCTCACTGCACCGTTTGTTATTAAAAGCTTTTCAGTCATGAGAAGTCACTTTGGTTAAAGGCAATCACCAAATGGCATATATTATCTCCAGGACATTCCTCTAACCTGCCTCCAGTCAAAGCCACGATTGGGATTCCAGCAACAGCAAACCATTGCGTTTAATCACATCAGATACAAACAAAATCAATTGTACGAGCCCCCCCCCTTCATATGCTCTAATTTTAAACTAGCTCCTTGACACCACCCGATTCCTATGCGACTCCACGGCACAAGGCGGTCTGGACGGAGTCACCTTTAAAGCGAAGCCAGGTTGTGTCATTGCCATCCGGGATCAATACATTCATCTCAAGTTCATTCCAATATGGCAGCAAAAAAAGGGGGCCTGTTTGGTGTCAGCTTTTTAAAGCCTGGTGACGTACGTAACGAGCTAGCCCCAAGACAGGCGGGTAAGTTTGTCTGCAGACCGATTAGACGAAATTGCATTTTTTGTTGCATGCTTGTGTGTAAAGAAAAAAAAAAAAGCAAAACATTCATTCATATGTATTGGTGCACGGATCTGGATAATAACAGATAAGCGTGCTCATTGGTAAAAAAAAAAAAAGAAAAACGTCTGAAAGAAGGAAAATATTGCGCGTGCATTGGATTCACGTCACGGAGCCGCCGCTTCGTCTTCAGCGTCTCAGAACACCCGCAGGGCACTAGTAACTCTTCAATTACCGGCTTCACTCTGAGGAACGGTTAACTTAAGAACAAAACTTTGTGTTTCAAATGACTCAGAGCGCGTTTGATAAGGAAATTATCCTCTTAGTTGGTCCCAAACCCACAATAAAAGAGGCTGCTTCTGTATAAATTACCTCCACGGACGAGCGGATTATCAAAATACTCTAAGTGGAGACTCGGCGGTGCATCCTGTAGAAATTATTTTAGCTGCTGAGGAATCGTCAAGTTTTCAAAAAAAATAAAAATAAAAATAAAAAAATGTACAAAACAAACATTTATGTAAAGCAGCCTCCGTTGGCAGTAAATCTCATTTTGAAGAACGGCTTGGTATTCCAGACTTGGCTCCCCTAAGATCCAGGGATGACTTTCATTTAGTCTCACCTCTCCATCCAACTGGGGTCACCCCTGTTGGTATAGCAAGCACAGCAGTCACATTGCTCCACCATGCGCACAGATTGCTTACTAGACCCGCCTGGAACCTTTCATATTTCCCAGTCAGCATTTTTACAG